AATATATTTATAATCATCTTTTCACACACTAGCATTGAACATTTAAAAATCAAAATAAAAGTACTTTTATACTTGCACCAAAACATGAAATATGTAAATACTTATATATTATAAAATTATGCAAGACTACCAATAAGAAAATATAAACGTTGGATTAAATACAGACATGCAGTGTTGGTGAACTGAATGATCCTGTATTATTAAGAACCTACCTACCTCCCTTCCTCTCCTGGAACCAAACCCAGTATTATACACATGCCAGGCTAGCATCAAGCCATACCTCCAGCACAATGCTGTTTAAAATTTCAATTTTATTCAAATCTATCTATAGATTCAACATAATCTCAAACAGAATCCAAATAAGCACTTTTATATAAATTGATACAATAGTTCTTTAAAATTGTATGAAAGTGAAAGGAAACAAGATTAACCAAAACTACACAGGAAAAAAAGAATAAAACTGGAGGGTTTATGTAATTTGATTTTAGGATTTACTATAAAACTACAATAATCCATATAAGTGGTACTGGTAGGTCAACGGAACAGACATATGTATCTACCTGTGAGAAATAAGAATACTGTGCTATCCAAGAGAAAAGAAAGCACACCTTGCTATTGAGAAACTGTATGCAAATGTTAACCGCAGTGCCTAGCACACAGCAGTCACTCGGTGCAATTCCCAACACCACCTCCCAAAGAAAAGAATAGTAGCAATAGTTAAGTGCAACAATGTAGAGGAATCTTAAAATAGTCATGTCTGATTCTGCTCACATAAATACTAAAGTACATAAATTCCTCTATAATAGCAAATTAGTCTAGTGATTACTAGGAGACACGATGACAAAAAGGGCAGGAAGAAAAAAAATCAAGCCATCTAAATAATTTTTTTCCAATGACAGATATATTTCATTATTTTTTTTATTTATTTATTTATTATGTATGCAATATTCTGTCTGTGTGTATGCCTGAAGGCCAGAAGAGGGCACCAGACCTCATTACAGATGGTTGTGAGCCACCATGTGGTTGCTGGGAATTGAACTCAGGACCTTTGGAAGAGCAGTCAGTGCTCTTAACCGCTGAGCCATCTCTCCAGCCCCCATATTTCATTATCTTAATAGTTTTAACCAGGGTAAATATGTTAGCAAGTATGCATGTCTAATATACAGTATACTGCTGTAAACTACACCCCAACTAAAGAGAACATGTGTCCTGAAAATGTTGTCGAAAGTCAATTCTAGTATGAGCAGAGTTTTCAATAACGGGTCTGGTATTGCTTTACTTTTTTTTTTCAGCAGACATTAGCAAAATCCATAAACTTATTCCTTCATATTCACCAATGTCTTTGAGGAAACTCATGGTTTTACTAAGTTTTGGGTGGACTCCAAGTAAGTAAACACCAAAAAAAAGTACACAGAAAATGAATAAGCATACCTTGATTTGTGCAAAGGGTCTTTCATAACCTCCAACATAGAGAAGGCCAACATTCTGTGGAAGCAACCTACAAGGTAGGAAAAAATAAAATAAAAAAACACCTTATATATAAAGTACTGTGCCTTTATAGAAAGGATGTATAATAATAAAGAGTGAGAAGACTGGAGAAAGATTCAAACAGTAAAGTGCTTGCTGTACAACCATCAGGACCTGTGTTTGATTCCTCATAATCCATGTGAAAAAAAACCAGGTGTGGTGGCAACAGCCTGTAATCCAGGCAGTGGGGAGGTAGAGACTGGCTCACTGATCAACCACCAGTCTAGCCTAACTGCCAAATTTTAGGCCAATAAAGAGATTGCCTCAAAAACAAAAATAAACACAAAATAAAACACAAGGTAGACAGCATCTGTAAAACAATACCCAAGGTAGATATCTAGCTACACACACACACACACACACACACACACACACACACACACACAGAGAGAGAGAGAGAGAGAGAGAGAGAGAGAGAGAGAGAGAGAGAGAGAGATACAGAGAGATACAGAAGAAAAAAGGGGGACCCGAGATAAAATAAATGTCTAGTTCCCGTTTTCATAGTCACTCTGATGTCAGTCTTTGGCCCTTCTGTTTCTGTTAATTACTATTGGTAGTTGCATCATTAATTCTTTAAATAGATACATAAATTCCCAGCTGGGTGCCATTAAAGTGATGCTTATTAGATCCCAATATAAACAAATTATCTACCAGAATCAAGAATTTGACGCAGGATACAATTTACAGATGGAATGTGAGGGTTAACATTATGTTTTAGGTTTTAATTGCTATGCTTATAAAACAAAAATACCTCTAACCTGTAAGCCCAAAGAAAGATAGCATGCCATGTATTTTCACTTCTGTGAATAAGTCTGGCTGCTCCAGCTGCACAGGATGTGTATGATCACAGTAGGCAGGAAGTACATAGGCAGTACATTAGGGTGTATACTTGTCCCCACTGGACAGAGGCAGCAAGAATGCAGCCTTGTGGGTTTTGTCTTAATAAGCAAAGGGCTAATGTAATTCATAGCCATTCTCTGGGAATCCTGGGTGTGGACCTGGCCAGTGTCCATTGTTCTGACCAGTATTTAATAATGGTTGCTTCAAACTTGGCTTAAAAATACTGGTCTTATTCTCACCCAGTGGACTAAGAAAACATTTACAGAAAGTTACAATAGTGAAGAAAAGGGAAAAATAAAATCTTCCTTTCTGTTTACTGTCTTGTTCATTTTTACCCTCTGGTGTGTATGTGATGCAAATGTGAGAGGGACGATGCATACACATACAGGCTCTTGTATGTGCCACAGCACCCACGTGAGCATCAAAAGACAAATCTGAGTATGCGTTCTCACCTTCCTCACAGGTCCTTTTGTCAACTGCACTGTACACCCTACGTCCCATCTTGTCATAACAGCACTGGGGTTCCTACCACAAGCTACTACACCCAGCATTATGTGGGATTACACATAACAGCACTGGGGTTCCTACCACAAGCTACTACACCCAGCATTATGTGGCTGCCGAGATTCAAACTCATGCCCCTTGTGCTCAAGTGCTTTACCGACTGAGTTATCTCCCAGCCCTATTTTTTCATTCCTTACAACAATGCAAGTTAGAATTAATTAATAAACTCTTCCAAAGTTATTTTATTATTTGTGTGTGTAGGTACTCACAGAAGCTAAAAGAGGGAAGGAAATGGAGCCCCCTGAGCTGGAGTTCTAGGCAGTTACAAGTCTGAGTGCTAGGAACCAAACTAACGTCCTCTGCAAAAACACTGGGCACTTTTAATTGTTGAGCTATCTCTCAAGCCCCAATTAATCAATTCTTACCTAATATTTCTATGGACAAGTCTGACAAAAGACAATGTTTTCCCTTTAAGATTAGAAAGATAGCAAGGATGTCTGATCTAACAGTTACTGTTCAGCTTGGCATTACAGACTGCAGTCAGCGCAATAAACTACAGAGAAATGCATCAGATCAGACAAGAAGAGAATAGCCTTTTTCAGTGGAGCACATAATTAAGTAAAGAAATCCTATAAAATCTACAAAAAATACTACCAGAACCAATAATTCAGTGTAATAATACTACAGAATCCTAAGTCAATATATTTATAATCATCTTTTCACACACTAGCATTGAACATTTAAAAATCAAAATAAAAGTACTTTTATACTTGCACCAAAACATGAAATATGTAAATACTTATATATTATAAAATTATGCAAGACTACCAATAAGAAAATATAAACGTTGGATTAAATACAGACATGCAGTGTTGGTGAACTGAATGATCCTGTATTATTAAGAACCTACCTACCTCCCTTCCTCTCCTGGAACCAAACCCAGTATTATACACATGCCAGGCTAGCATCAAGCCATACCTCCAGCACAATGCTGTTTAAAATTTCAATTTTATTCAAATCTATCTATAGATTCAACATAATCTCAAACAGAATCCAAATAAGCACTTTTATATAAATTGATACAATAGTTCTTTAAAATTGTATGAAAGTGAAAGGAAACAAGATTAACCAAAACTACACAGGAAAAAAAGAATAAAACTGGAGGGTTTATGTAATTTGATTTTAGGATTTACTATAAAACTACAATAATCCATATAAGTGGTACTGGTAGGTCAACGGAACAGACATATGTATCTACCTGTGAGAAATAAGAATACTGTGCTATCCAAGAGAAAAGAAAGCACACCTTGCTATTGAGAAACTGTATGCAAATGTTAACCGCAGTGCCTAGCACACAGCAGTCACTCGGTGCAATTCCCAACACCACCTCCCAAAGAAAAGAATAGTAGCAATAGTTAAGTGCAACAATGTAGAGGAATCTTAAAATAGTCATGTCTGATTCTGCTCACATAAATACTAAAGTACATAAATTCCTCTATAATAGCAAATTAGTCTAGTGATTACTAGGAGACACGATGACAAAAAGGGCAGGAAGAAAAAAAATCAAGCCATCTAAATAATTTTTTTCCAATGACAGATATATTTCATTATTTTTTTTATTTATTTATTTATTATGTATGCAATATTCTGTCTGTGTGTATGCCTGAAGGCCAGAAGAGGGCACCAGACCTCATTACAGATGGTTGTGAGCCACCATGTGGTTGCTGGGAATTGAACTCAGGACCTTTGGAAGAGCAGTCAGTGCTCTTAACCGCTGAGCCATCTCTCCAGCCCCCATATTTCATTATCTTAATAGTTTTAACCAGGGTAAATATGTTAGCAAGTATGCATGTCTAATATACAGTATACTGCTGTAAACTACACCCCAACTAAAGAGAACATGTGTCCTGAAAATGTTGTCGAAAGTCAATTCTAGTATGAGCAGAGTTTTCAATAACGGGTCTGGTATTGCTTTACTTTTTTTTTTCAGCAGACATTAGCAAAATCCATAAACTTATTCCTTCATATTCACCAATGTCTTTGAGGAAACTCATGGTTTTACTAAGTTTTGGGTGGACTCCAAGTAAGTAAACACCAAAAAAAAGTACACAGAAAATGAATAAGCATACCTTGATTTGTGCAAAGGGTCTTTCATAACCTCCAACATAGAGAAGGCCAACATTCTGTGGAAGCAACCTACAAGGTAGGAAAAAATAAAATAAAAAAACACCTTATATATAAAGTACTGTGCCTTTATAGAAAGGATGTATAATAATAAAGAGTGAGAAGACTGGAGAAAGATTCAAACAGTAAAGTGCTTGCTGTACAACCATCAGGACCTGTGTTTGATTCCTCATAATCCATGTGAAAAAAAACCAGGTGTGGTGGCAACAGCCTGTAATCCAGGCAGTGGGGAGGTAGAGACTGGCTCACTGATCAACCACCAGTCTAGCCTAACTGCCAAATTTTAGGCCAATAAAGAGATTGCCTCAAAAACAAAAATAAACACAAAATAAAACACAAGGTAGACAGCATCTGTAAAACAATACCCAAGGTAGATATCTAGCTACACACACACACACACACACACACACACACACACACACACAGAGAGAGAGAGAGAGAGAGAGAGAGAGAGAGAGAGAGAGAGATTTCTCTAACAGATACTATGAAAAATGAATATGCAATCATTGTCTTTAGTACAATGAGACAGTAACAAAGGAATCCTATTTTAAAATGGGTAAAATGCTAAGAATGGGGCTGCAATGTAGCTCAAGCAGGAAGGGTATTAGCACAACATACATGAAGCCTGGGTTCAAATCCCAGCACAGCATAAAACTGGGTGTACTGTCACAGGCCAGCAATGCCAGCATTCATGGGATCAAAGCAGAAGGATCAAAAATATAAGGTCAGCCTCAGATACACAGAGAGTTCAAGGATAGCTTGGGCTATGTGCTTCTACATCTCAAAAAACTTAAGTTAAATAATAGAACACAATTAACAATAATTCTAGTAACATTACTAGTGTCTCTGGAAATGAGGTGACAATATTATAATCAAAATTTTATAAAGATTTAATTGAAGAACTAGTGACTGCATGCCCATACCTTGTATTACAGATGATAATAACCTTAATTCTGTGCTAAAATTTTTACCAAAAACTTGCCATAAATACCCCTACTAAAAAAGTAGCTTTGACCATGCATGATAAAATATCCCCTATCTGTCACTGGAAAGAAGTGGGGTGAGGGCACTGACTATGGAGAGCTAGGTTAAATATGAGTACAGAGTGGTGCTGGGAATTGACCTTAGAGCCTCATACATAAAGGCAAGTGTTCTATATAGAACTATATTCCCAGTCCACATCAAAACATTATAAATGAAGAAATACTGCCTTTAGAACTTTGGAATGATTAAAGAGAAATCAGTAGTAGAGCAAGCTATAGGAAGGACATAAATACTGACCATAGTGTGTGCAATCACGGAGTTGGGCTGGCCTAACTGCCTTGAGAGGCATGTGTTTATAGGTTCTCAGGTTAGAGTCCATGGCTGGGGGTGGGGAGGACAGGCACAGTGGCCTTCCAGTTCCAGAGAGAAAGAGAGAGACCAATGCACTCTCTCAGGCGAAGCATTCAGGCCACTTTGTGTTTCTCTGTATGTTCCCTCAGAAGTGAAAAAAGCATGGAAGTTTGATGGGACACATGGTCTTAGACTTTAATCAGTGTACCTTGTATAGCTTGTAAATATCATTCTATCCTGGCAACTACAACTGTATTGATCTGGGCAATTGGCACTATATTCTGTTGCTGATAATGTATAAAAAGTCTGATTGCTCTCAATAAAATAGTCACAGCCTCATTCTTGCTGTGGCCCCTCCAACCAGCCTGATTTATTCCTCACAGCCATATTAGGTAACCATGCCTGGTAAGCAAGCATGGACACTTATACCATAGTATATTTCACTCTTTTACCATAATTTTACTTCCTAAAAGGCATGTAAATAAATGGACATATAGCTTTAGCCTTAGCATTAATATATGGAGGGAAAGTCTGTATTCAACACCCTAAATCTCTATGTACAGACATATCTAAGAGTCTATATGAGGTTAACAGCTTTTAAAGACAGGTAACAGAACTGAATTGAGCTGTAGGATAACTATGCATTCTATTCTATCAATCTGAGAACAGAAGACTCAAAGATTACGTATATGTATATGCGCGCGCACACACACACACACACACACACACACACACACACACACACTAAACAAGTGCCAATTCAAAGCAAGCCAATGGAACCTTCTCAATGCGCCATATTGAATACTTAAGTAAATTGTAACAATCTCCTTTTTGTGCTGTTTGTTTTTGGTTTTTGAGGCAGAGCTATAGAGATCTCACTTCATAGTCCTGGGATATACTGGAACTTTCTAACTATACCAGGCTACCTTCTACTACCAAGTGGTGGGTTACTGATATATTACCATAAGACCTGGGATAACCGTCTCTTTGCAATTCAATTCATAGCTTTAAAAAAAAAAAACTAAGTTTTAGAATCCACATTTACTAACAACTTTTCTGAAATCAGAACTTTTTTGATATTAGTGGAATCTTTAGTTGTCACTGGAGACAGATGTGAGAGTGTATGGTTCTTCCTCGCTGGTACAGACTACCTAGCGAGATTAAGAAAGCAAACATATTAAGTAAAAATAAGGCAGTCTCCTCAGTCTCCTCAGAAAAGTCTGCCCCTAACACTCTGTAGGAACAAAACACACTAACAGAACATTTAGAGTAGATATATATAATCCTGAATTAAACTAGTTAGGCAAATCCCGTTTTACATTTAGAATGTGAATGATAATATGTCAATAATATAAGGGAGATTACTAAGGGCATTTGTTTAGTGAATTCAAGTACAAAGCATAGAGGATGTCCCCAAATCTCAACAATGAAATGAGAAAAATCTTAGCCATGCTTTGACAACTAAAAATTCCACCAAGAACTGAACATAGCGGACAATGAGTACTGTTGAGAAGTCAAGAACAATGGCACTGGGTTTTGATCCTACTGCACGTGTTGAAATAATAGGAGCGGCGGGGCTGCGTCCCCAGCATCCCAGACGCCTGCTAGCTTATGCCCGAAATAACAACACACAAACTGTATTCATTTAAAGACTGCTTGACCTATTTCTATCTAGCCTCTTCTAGGCTAATTCTCACATATTAATTTAGCCCATTTCTAATCATCTGTGTAATCACCCCAAGGTGCGCTTACCGGGAAGATTCTAGCCTACGTCCATCCTGGATCGGAGGAGCTTCATTGCGTGCATCTGCCCGGGAGAGCAGAGCATGCCTCTCTGTCTAAGGCGTCTAGCTCTGAGAGGAGCTGCATTACTTCTGACCTCACTTCCTCTTCCTCCCAGCATTCTCTTCTGTTCACTCCACCCACCTATGTTCTAACCAATAAAATGGGCCAAGCCAGTTTCTTTATTAGCCAATGACCTTCCTCCATCATGCAATACTGGCTTTGTGGGAGCCTAGGCTGTTTGGATGCTCACCTTACTAGACCTGGATGGAGGTGGGAGGTCCTTGGACTTTCCACAGGGCAGGGAACCCTGACTGATATTCGGGCTGATGAGGGAGGGGGAGTTGATTGGGGGAAGGGGAGGGAAATGGGAGGCGGTGGCGGGGAGGAGGCAGAAATCTTTATTTGATAGATAGATAGATTAGATAGATGGATGGATAGATAGATAGATAGATAGATAGATAGATAGATAGATAGATAGATAGATAAAAAAGAAAACCTTGAACCATTTGCTGGGAGTAGCCATATATAGTAGTGGTAATTAACAAATGTTCATGGAAAACTTGATAAACCTCTTTTAAAAGTAGGAATGGTTACTGTCCATACAAACAGACAGGAGGAAAGGAAGAGAATAAGAGCTGGCTGACATTTGAAAGCCAACACGCCTCTAATTACTATGCACGTGCATCTCAAGCAGTCTGCCAATCTAGTACTTAGTGTACACCTCCCTTCCTTTAATTTGCTATCTAAAAACCACATTTCCTCAGCATTTTCTTAAATGTTACCAGTTAGGCTTTGTTTTTAACTTTTAAAAACATCTAATATTCTTTATCATATATCTTACTATCTTCACTTGATCAGGGCTTTGCTGTGGTTGTTTGTTTAAGACAAAGCCTCACTTATAGCTTTGGCTGGCTTGAAACTCAGATCACCTGCTTCTGCCTCCTGAGTACTGAGATTAAGATATGCCAAAGATACCATAACTGGCTTCAGTTGAGTAGTCTTAAATATATATTATAATTTAAAAGCCTTATAAGAGTAAGATAATAATTTGCTGTAGTGATATTTCACTTGTATTTTAATAAACAAAACCTGCCTGAAGAGAGTAAAATAGCCACACTGATCAACCTTACAGACCAGGCAGTGGTGACACACACCTTTAATCCCAGTAGCCACACTAGTTTGCCATAGAACTTTAATCATAGCACTAGAGAGAATATAAAACAGGAGGAACCAGCTCTCACACACAAGTCTCATTCTGAGATTCCTGGAGGCAGGATCACCATTTCAGATTGAGGTAGAGGGAATAGTCTTCAGGTCAAACTCCAATTTCTGTCTGGGGGTTCTTATTAATCATGCTATACTTTGTAAATATGTTTCCATTTTTAAAGTTTAATATTTCTTTAAATGATTTTTCTTTTTAAACGATTGTTTATGCAAAATTGTATACATAATTATTGCCAAGTAAGCATCACTTACCATGGCAGGGTGTTTGTACTTCAATACAGCAATCACATTTTAATCTCAACAGTAAGACACTAATTTAACACTAACAGACAAAAACAGGTATTCTCTGAGACAGAAATTCTAGCCCATTCAAGTTCATGAAGCTGTTCTGCCCTTAAGTTAGGTGAACATCACCATGATCTTTATGAACTACTAATGGCCTCTCAAGTACTGGAATTAGTGTTTTAGTATTTATGACTAGGAAGCACTAAATGTTTGGTAGTGTGGCTACCATGTAAGACTCTTGAAAAACAAAGACAGAGTAGTAGTGTTGGAGGAGGGGATTCCTACTATAACCTTTGAAGAACTAAAAGTAGTAAAACTAGTGTTCCGTTTGTTTTTAATTTCCCAGGCACAAATAGTAACAGCTGTCTATACTGGAAAAGTCC